TTCTGCTCAGAACAGCAAGCTTAATGTAGATACAGTTCTCGCTCATTTACTATAATTTCCGTTTAAATATGTCTCCAATCTGTTAGTAAACACACTAACAATTTGCTTATGATTAATGAGCAATCGTAGAATTAAGTCTATTTAATTTTTCTTTTCCAAAATGCAAATATATGTTTGGTGTGTAAGCACTTAAATATTATATAGAGGTTTGCACATTGCAGTATCAACGCGATTAATTTTCGCAACTGATGACGTAGCGATATCTTCTCGTAGATTGGAGATTGCGAACGAGTGACGTAATAGTACACCTTTCGTTTGTGATAAGCAAAGAACAAATGCTCAAATAAGAATGCTCTATCGCTCACATAAGAAAACAACATCAAATGCGTGCGGTGTCAGTGTGTAACATAATTAATTACAAATGATTAACAAGATATACCTAAACAGCTCATTTGTATATTCAGTTGATGCTATTGTATCAAAATTTTAATTACCATAAAAAAATATGTACTTAGTGTTTCTCTATAAATATAAAATGCTAAATTTTAATGAAATTTACAGGTATTAATAAATAAATGTGCCTTTTTATTTGTTCGTATTATTTCGTATATAGTAACAAGTAACGCTCAGAATTTTCTGATTGAGCAATTCAAGTAATCCGAATTATAAAACTCGAATCTTAAATTGTTCAAATTATTCAAGTCTGAATATACACTTCAACAATTCGATTCGGAATTAGGTAGAATAGTAACATAAAATAAGACGATATATTTAAAAACCAGGCAAAAATTGATTATTTTTATTTGCTTGGATTTTCTTTGATGTCTCAACTTTGAATATTTGTACTTTACCATAAAAAACTACTGTAAATTGCGAGCAAGCAGTTCAGTTATTTCCGTTAAAAGTGTTTGAATTGTTCGTATTTTTCACAGTTCGTGTTTCGTTTCGATCTGTTAGAACAATTTGGCCACATGATTCATTCAAGTATGCATGTATAGTATAAGCCCTAGTAATAAGGAACAATAAATTTGCGATATTTTACTTTGTATCGTAATCAATACGAATATATTACACGGCAAAGATCGTATTTTTTATATTCATGACATATCTTTTTATATTTATACATTTGTATATTTTTTACTTTATAAATATGACAGCGAGATTAAAAAGTAATTGAAATTCTCTTTTATGCTATATTCTAATATCGTGACAATTTGATTTATCAGTCACATATATTTTGATAAATATTATGAGATCATTGTATTACAAAAGTGGCAGTATGCTTAATAAAATGAAAATGGAATTCCAACAACAGTCATTGAATATTTAACGAAGTAATAAATTTGAAATATTTTTTATTGTTCCGTTGTCTGTGTCATCATTGTCATGTATTATCTCTTGTTTAAAGTCAGTATACCAAAGAAAATTTTTAACTTATCTTTATTATAAAAAAAACCCATGTCCAATATCAAAATTTTAAAAAGCTGTGTCAAAGATAAACGACAGACATTTAGGTACTTAAAAAGATAGAAATCTTGTTGATATGTATCATATATGTGTATAATTTTTATTAAAGTAAGATTAGGAAACCAATTCTAACAAATGTTGAAATTTACATTAATAATCAGTTCTCAAAGCTCATAATTTTATTTACACCCAATTCAACATGATTAATGTTACGTTGCTCGATTTAAATTCTCACTTGATTCCAGCCAAAGGAAAATATTATACAGAGGCAAAAGTACGGAAAACCCCTAAATTTTACGAAATACTATGCATTTTCGAGAAATATATTTCAGACAAAAGTTGTATGTTTCAAGTAACGCATTACATAGCAATATTAGTATGACCTTGAAGAGTGTTGTCAAGGTTACGTAAAGATCACCTTAAAATTTTTAAATAAAAACCCTAATTTTTTATTACATATTCTTGTAGCTTACCTCGAAAGCTTTTCAAAACACTATAACAAAGTATTATTTTATTAAGTACTTTTCAAGTTATGGAGCTTGGAAGTCACAGTATCGTCGGCATCAGCATTATAACAAGGTATACCGCGTAAAGGTTGCACGGTCGGATTTACATTTCTGCGCGTGCGTGTGTGCGTGCGTTATGCATGGTGTCATGGAACTTTATAATGTAAAACATTTCTGCTATTTCTCTTTTTCTGGTGTATTTTTTTGGTGTTTTAGAGTAAATTCTGAAAGTGGCTCCCATTGACTTTCTGACAGTATGCCAATCTTTGATAGAATGCAGACATGGGTCTACGACTCGATTCAGCTGGTAACAAGGCCGCTTCATCTCTTATTCGCTGCCTCAATTCTTGGATGTTTTCAAGTTTTGTTTCGTAAACCTCACTCTTCAGGTAGCCCCAAAGGTAATAATCAAGATGAGTTAGATCTGGTGACCGAGGTGGTCAATGCTCTTCTCCTTCTCCTCGGTTCCTTCTTCCTATCCACCTTCGTGGGAAAACTTCATTTAAAATTCGACGTGGTCTTGCACCAAAATGAGGAGCTCTATCATGCTGAAACCATATTTCTTTGAAGTTATTTGGAAAAACATTTCGTATGGCTGGAATTACTTTATCTACAAGTAATCTCTGGTACCTCTAAGTATTAAGGTTTTCCTCGAAAAAAAAAACGGCCCTATCAAATGACCATCTATCATACCACACCATACATTTACTTTTTGTGGGTATTGCGTGTGTTTCCCGTACCCAATTCGAATTTTCATCTGATCAGAAACGAAAATTTTGATTATTAACCTCTCCCATCAACGTGAACGTTACGTTGCCTTGTCTGTAAGAACAATTTGGTAAGGGAAGTTGGGCCTATCATCTATTCCATCATTCTTACACAGAAGCGTATACGACGCCCATCATCTCAGTCTTGCAATTCTTGAACGTATTGCAATTTGTACGGATGTAATTTACTTTTTTTTTTCAAAATTCTGTGTATATAGACCTGGGAGCAATATCGTGAGCTTGGGCTGCTCAGCTATTAAGAGACGCACGGGGATTTTCTTGTTGTTTCTCAATGTTAGTTGCAGATGGTCTGCCTGATCTAACGCGACTTTTTACGCCACCAGTTTCTTGAAAACGTCGTATTGTTTTCAAAACAGTGGACTTATTAATTTGACGATTCGGATACGTGTCATTAAACAATCGAACGACATCAGTAAACGATCGTTCATCATCACCACATCCGCGCATCAAGGGTAGTGATTCTTTCACACACCAATAATTTGTTAGCCATTTTTAACCAAATGTTTAATTTTTAATTTATTAATTTGCGAATTAAAAAGACAAAAGTCCTCGACAGAAGCAGAGCGCTCTATTCTGAACGCTATCACACTACCCGCGTGATTATGCGCGAGAAAATGACATTGAACATCCTGGCACTTGCGTTTTATATCCTCTTAGAGTGTCGATCCAGAGAGGGTCAGCGCGAGAGGAGGGAGAGGGAGAGTGCAATTGGGTCATTGGAGGCTCCAATCCCTTTATTAGATCCTCTTAGAAAGGGTCCAATGGGAGCCTCCAATGACCCAATCGCCCTCTCCCTCCCCCTCACCCCATAGAATAAAAAGAAAAAAGCAAAATGAAGGAGGAGAGGATTGGCCACCTCGGTCTAACTCCTCTTGATTATTACTTTTGGGTAATGCTGATGCTAGAGATACTGTGACTTCCAAGCTCCATAACTTGAAAAGTACTTAATAAAAGAATACTTTATTATAGTCTTTTGAAAAGCTTTTGAGATAAGCTACAAGAATATGTAATAAAAAATTATGGTTTTTATTTAAAAATTTCAAGGTGATCTTTACGTAACCTTGACAACACTCTTCAAGGTCATACTAATATTGCTATGTAATGCGTTACTTGAAACCATACAACTTTTGTCTGAAACATATTTCTCGAAAATGCATAGTATTTCGTAAAATTTAGGGGTTTCCATATTTTTGCCTAACCCTGTATATTAATTATAAATGTGCATTTACGTCTATCTACAAAAATCTATTTTTTGGAACTAAAATGATTACTACAAAATGATTACGAAATCGATCCCAGTACTAGATTACAAGGAATGTGCATAAAAAGTTTTTTGTATATTTGCATAAAACATTTGTTTAATAGCTGGAAGTAAAGCATATTTCCCATTTTCCAATGATATAAAAGATATGAATATATATATTCATGATTTTATACATATACATAATAAATATATATAATATTAATATATAAGTAAAAATTAATTATATAATATATATAAAAGTATATTATATAATATACATAATATTACATAATCATCATATTACGCTATATTATAAATATATATATGTATAAAATTATGAATGATAATAAAAAAAAAGTACATAATGCATTATATTGGATTATCTCTACATTTAGATTTTCTGATACATAATCTTTATCAATTTTTCCAATAAAGTGCGAAATAAAATAAACAAATGTTAACTTAAATGATTCTACAGTAATATGACAATTCCAGAGAGATGGCCAGTCATAAAAATTTAGTAACTTTAGTTAGTATTTGCAATGTTTTTAATGTACTTTAATATAATCTTAAAATATTTCTTCAACTATGCGTGAATACTGTGAGAATGAGTAAATAAAATTAACAGTATGTACAATTATAACTCATTGACATTTGATATTGATCAAATTCGTTTGTTCGTTCAATATGTATGGATCGTGAAAAGCAAGAAGATATCTGGAGGCAGTGTAATTCCTTATTTCGAATAAAAGGCAAATGAAAAGAACAATGACAAATAGCAACAGATCTAACTGGTAATGTCATTTCGTGATTATCTTTTCAAACGAAGCGCGACATATTTCTGAGGTTTATAGTTGTAACCTACGTAAAATACAACGAAATACTATTTCTGTAAAATGCTTGTAAATAGCACTCTTCTTGGCATAAAATCGACATTAAAAAAAACTATAACGAAAAATTTCATCTTAGTCATATATACGATGTAATGTACTTTAATCTCATTCCCCTTCTTTCCTTGCATTTATCTGGTTTAGCCTGCCCATATTATACGTCCTCCAGTTATTTCTTAACTTCATGTATAAATCATTACACTCGTATATTTTTAATGAGAAATTTACTTAAGCATTAGCTTATTCTTGTAATAATCATAATATATGTAGCTTTCTCATTTAATGTATTGTACAATGCGATGAACTATATTTGGAGCTATGGCGATATTTAAAATTTTCAGCTATCTTGACCCGTCAAAGAAACGTATTATCTAACGATTCATTACTCTACGAGGTAGGTCATTCTGCTTCGCTGTCGGAATATTCTATTTTCGTAGGAGTGCGAGGTTTCCTCGAGTATCTTAATCCTAACATGTCCGCAATCTCCTCAATATGCGACAATACCTGAGATATAAATAAAATTGCGATTAAAATATCAAGTCTTTTAGTTTACCAGCTATTACTTACATAATCTAATTGTTCCTTTGTGTGTGCGGCTGAAAGACAAAATCTAATTCTGCCCTCCATCAACGGCGTTGCTGGGAATCCAACGCCGACGGTTGCTATGTTACGGGTCGTCAGAGTACGGATCACTGCGCTATATTAAACATTAAAGAGAAAAAAAGAGATTGAAATGATTCGGATTTTAGAGATAATATCCTAACTTACCCGATCTTAGAGAATAAGTAAACTAGCATAGGCACAACGGGCGAGTCCTCGTTTCCATAAATTATAACTCCGATCTGATTCAATCTGCGTCTAAAATATCTCGTATTCTTAGCCAACTGTTTGATACGTTTTTCACCAGCATCTGTGCCATCTTCTCCTGCAATAATTCGCATCGACGTGATAATTTGTTGCGTAACAGGTGGGGACATCGATGCCGCGTACGTATGCGCATGACCATATATCCTTATATGATTTATCAATGTCTGAAACAAACGTGATCTGATTACAGATAAGTATTAAAATATGTCGAGACTGTTGAAAGATCGTTAAAATATTACTCTTGTTCCAGCTATATATCCACCCGCCGAGCCAAAGCTTTTCGTAAATGTTCCCATGAGTATATCTACTTCGCGCGGGTCAATACCGTAGTAATCGCAAACTCCTCTCCCATTTTTTCCCATGGCTCCCGCGCTATGTGCCTCATCCACATAAAGGTAGGCCTATTCGACAATTAAAAAATTTATATTAATTGTAATAAGAAATTAAAGAAAGGAAGTAATAGATTACAATCAAAGTTACTTTTACGAACTTTGTATTTCTTTTTTAACTCTAATATTTCGGGTAAATGGACGATTGAACCTTCCATAGAATAAACGCCTTCAACAATGATAACTATTTTCTTCCAAGGTTCGCCAGTTTTCGGCTGCCCGGAGACAATAGCCTTCTTCAAACATTCCTCTAAATGCTTCACGTCTGTGGATCATGAGCTTTTTGTACTTTCAACAGTAGATAATTATGCGTTGACTATTTGACTATTACATAATATGCGTACTATTATGCTTGAAGATCTGTGTCACTGCGCCAGATAGTCGTAGTCCGAGAATAAGCGAAGCATGATTCTTCTCGTCGCTAAGAACCAGACAACCTTTGCTGACCAAGGAAGGTAGGTTTAATGAGTTTGTGGCAAATCCCATTCCAAATACTATGGCGTCTTCCACTCCCAAAAATTTTGCAGTCAACTTTTCTAGTTCATCATGTATCGGCATGGTACCTTAGCATAATAAAAGTGATTCGTTCAATTTCTTTTTGCTGTATGCAGTTAAAAAAACATGGAACTTTAATAAATCATAGCAAATTATCACCACGAAAAAAAAATAAAGAAAAAGGCTTTAAAGCCGGTTTTCGGCCCCCTCTAAATTTCATTCCAAAATATCAGAAACATTCTATTTTTTGTAAGAACTATTGAAATCAGATTTTAGTCTAAACAGACGTAAGCACAAGAGCGTTGATGGTAAAATGGGATTAATTAGAATTGCAAGGTAAACAGACATCAAAATATGTCCGTTTAAACTAAAATCAGTTGATTTTAATAAATTGGTATAAAAGTCATTGTCATTTTCTACAAATTAATTTATAAACATTGACTAGTGAAACTGTAACTTATGAAAAAAATCGTATATTTTTAACGAATATTATATTATATTATATTACATTATATTATTGTCATTCCACATATGGTCGTCACACATGGACAGAGATAGAATATTGGCCAAATATAGGTATTAACCGTTTAAGTTTCAAAGCGATCACATTTCTGCTTTATGCTTTTTTAATTTGATTTTTTGATTTTTTTCATATATATTCATTATTTATTTCATATAAATATAAAAAAAGTTAAGAATTTGCACATTACTTCCTCACCATTTTTAAGTGTGCACATTAAAAATTTCCACATTATTTTTTATTGCGCTCACAAAGCTCCTCTATTTCTTAAAGAAGCTTGTATTTTATTTGATGCATAATTATAATAGTATTCATTAGTTTGGCTTCCTCATAGAGGAATAAGCGCAATAAAAAGCAATGTGCAAATTCCTAATTTGCACACTTAAAAATGTTGAGAAAGCAATGTACAAATTCCTAATTTGTACATTTTTTTTATTTTTATATAATTTTCACAGAAATTTTACAGGCTCCATCCTCTTCTGGTCAAATATTACATTATTCTAATTGTAAGTCAGATTAGGGTATCACTTCTTAATGTAGTTTTGTTCAAATAATGTTAGATGGTCATAATCATTTCTCAAAAAGTTCAAAGTTTTGATTGCGTATAAAGCTAGATCTAATCAATCAAATTTTAAAGAATTATATGTGAAATAGGGGTAGAAAAGACTGAAGAATATACTAGAATTAGAAATAGCCCGATATTTCAAAATTGGCGAAAGTTAAAGCAATCACAAACATTTCTCAAAAAATCTAAATTTTCTAAAGAAAGAACTCCTTTTTACCGATCACCGCCAAATTCAATACCAACTTTCCTTTAATAATACTCTACATTTAAAAAAATTGAGTCCGATATCTAAAAAATTACGGAAGTTAGAGCTACCACAACACTTCAAATACTATACACGCACACACACATACACACACCTTTAAAACAATTAAGACCCCCATTTTTTATTGCATATTCTTAAAGCTTACTCCGAGAGCTTTTCAAAACACTAAAAAATTATTTTTTTATTAAGTACTTTCCGAGTTATAAGTGTGTACATACATACATACATACGTATTATACATACACACCCGGAAAAAAAGGATTAGATCTGATCAGATCAAATTTTATCTGGTCAAACATACTCAGATATGACTTCTCATGTCTGCGCAGATCTGGTCACATATGTTCATATATAACTGTATATAACTACATATGGGATGCAATCTGATCTTCGACGGTTCAGATCGGACCATATCTACTCATACGGACCATATCTGCTCAGATCGAACCATATCTGTGATTGAATTTCATTGAAACAGTCCAGATCTGACTGTATCTGTTTAGATATAACCATATGGTTATCTATACTCAAATGCGATCCAAAATACATTACATCTGACCATTCTGTTCAAATATAAGTCGAGCTGAGGTTGTGTTTGATCGAAAACTGTTCAGGTCTGACGATATCTGGCCATGTTTATAACTATAATAAATTAAATGTTCGATGATTGATATTCGTCTAAGATATTTAAATATATAAATATGAATTATATACATAGCAAATATGAATTATATACATAGCAAATTAAAGATATTCAATTAAATATCTTTGATATAATTATATAAAAATAAATTATGATAAAGATATCATTTGCAGAAGACAAGTATTTTTTTATGAACAAAAAAACGTTAGTTATTTGTTATAAAAGCATTTTCATCAATTCGCCTTATATCTAAAATACAAAAGACAATAACAGAAATATAAGTTACTTCGTACATTGTAAGCTTATATAGATGATGGATAAACAAAAGTGAAAAAATTCTCAATTTGATTATTATTTAATAGCTAGATTACGTTAAAAATTGTGTTGAAATTATTTGGAAACTTGCATAAATAATTACCAACTCGAATAAGAATTGTTAGAGACTTTACAATTTTTACTTTAATTACTAAGAATTATTTACTGGTTATACAAGGTGTAACAAAAAGGTCGGGATTATCTCTGAAAGATGACGTTTTTGGAAGAAATGTTTTATACAAAAGTTATAGGGTACCAAGTTATCCATTATGTGGTGATATTGGCTTGACCTTGAACGATCTTGGAAAAGTCACATGGGGGTCATATTGAGTTCTTTAAACGGTGACTCCTATTTTTTATGTCATATTCTTGTAGTCCTTGTCGAGACGTTTTCAAAACACTAAGATAAAACTTTCTTTTGTTAAAAATTTCCTGAGATATTTTAAATTTTGTCATAACATTTTTAATATAAAATATGAGATATCTTATAAATAAGTAGAGGAGACCGGGGCCGAGTCGTCACTACAATTATCTCGAAATCTGTATGTTGTGTGAATTCGCCATTAATATTGTACACTATTTATGGTGCCCACGTGACCAACGGAGTTTAGTGAGATTACATGCCATGTTGTGATTTTCATTATGGCAAACGTGTTTTCGGAGGTTAAAAGTAAAATTTTTTGCGCGTCGAAAATTTTAAATATTTAGAATATTATTTTCTCTCCGAATCTCGAGATAAGTGATTCTGAAGAGTAATGCATGTTGAACACGAATCCAGTAAAATTTTTTTATTTTTGTTGATTTTTAATATTTTATGAGCGATCAAACTTAAAATCTGTGTCCGGAGCGAAGTCGTCACCAAGCCATATCATGGAGACTTCAAGCGAAAATCAAAGTCAAAGAAACAGCAGTGGTCGGATTCCGGCGAGGACTTGGATAATACGTGCTGTGTGCTCAGAGATGACAGAATAGAGCTGACGAGAAACAGTGCATTTCGTGCGAGCGTAGGGCACATAAGTGTGTGCGCTTTTCTTGTAATTATTTTCCGCCATTCGTGTTTTTAATTAATGTTTCCATCTTTCTATTAAAAAATAATTAATAAAATGTATCTTGTTATTTTTCATGATCAAAATTATGTATTTTTATTTAAAATCCAGTCCGAGAATGGAGTGACGACTCCGCCCCGGCAATTTTGACATTTCAATTTTTGCACCTTTGTCGTTTTCACTCTATACCAGTTGAACAAAGCGACGTAAACCAAAAATGTCCTTATAAATTTTGTAGCCAAGGGTTCACTCTTTACAATGATATACTACATTTTACTAAAATTATTATTTTGTTGTTAAAAATCGACATCGAAAAAATAGTGACGATTTTGTCCCGGTCTCCTCTATTCACTTTTCGATAACTTTATCTTCATACTTCTATACGTAAAATGATGAAAGGAATTGAATAATAATATTAATTTTTACATTTGCAATTTTGCAAAATTGAATGCGTTTACAAAATGCAATTAAATTTTTTAAAATAATGTTTTTTTTTCTTTACAACAATCGATTCCTTTTATTATTTTGCGTAGAAAAGTATGAAGGTAAAGTTGTCAAAAAGTGAATACTTTATGAGATATTTTATATTCTCCATATCTAAAAAAGGCATGTAAAGTCGATACTCGAATCTGTCAAAGTTTATTGTTGTCGCTTTTCCGCGATGCCGATTAGTTCTCTCGCTGCGCTTACTTTATGAGCAGTTGTCATCGTAATTTTAAAGTTGTGTATCGTGTGTATCAAAAAGTTAATAGTATAATAGTAATAGTATAATGTTAAAGCTAAATAGCGCGCGCAAAGCGCGCGTCTGTGATGTCTAGTACATTAAAAATGTCATAAAAATTTGAAATATCTCAGAAAATATTCTTATCGAAAGAAAGTTTTATCGTAGTGTTTTGGAAACGTCTCAACAAGGGTTACACAAGAGAATATGAAAAATAGGGGTCCCTGTTTAAAAAACTCAATGTGACCTTGATGTGACTTTCCCAAGTTTGTTCAAGGTCAAACCAATATCACCGCATAATAGGCAACTTGGTACCCTACAACTTTTGTACAAAACATTTCTTCCGAAAACATCATCTTTCCGAGATAATCCAGTGTCCCAATCTTTTTGTTACACCCTTTATGCAAATGTTGGATCGTTCGATAGATGGGATCCTGATGAGATCCGTTTCTCGTATTTAAAATATGACAAACAATGGTATAAGAACGGTATATAAATCAAGTGTACGGTACAATAACTTATCGAATAACAGTTGTATCAAAGTCCACGCTTATAATAAAGTGGCACACAATATTGAATTGAATCGATATATTTATGGTTTTATAACATTTTACATCCATTCATGATTTTTAATTATATCTGAGCAAATCTAGATACATTCGGTAAATAATTATATCTCGGCAAATCAAATTATATCTGATCAAATCTGGTTATATCTGGTCTGTTCAGATCTGGCCAGATGAGACAATTTGCAGATCAAATTATATCTGGCCAGATTTGATGAACCAGATCTGGTCATATCTCGGTAGATCTAATTCTTTTTTCCCGGGCACATACAGACATTGTGTTGAAAATATTTTTATAGACGTTTTAGAACATTCTGAATACATTGGCATAGAAAACTAAAAGAACATTTTTTCTTCCCCTTTTCTACCCTTTTCTACGCCTTTTCGGCCTTTTCTACCCCTATTTCATATATAATTCTTTAAAATTTGGTTGATTAGACCTAGCTTTATATATATGCGATCAAAGGTCCGTATACGAGGTTTACGAAAACAAAGCTTTCTCTGTGAGGAAGCAAAATGCATCTAGTAACTACTAATCGAATCTTGATAGTTACGGTAGAAGCGCATCAACAATGACTCTACTATAGGTGCTTTTCATTTAGCGACATAAGTCAATACAAGCGTTATTCTGTCTTTTTTCAACATCTAGTGAACAGCAAAGATAGTGACGCTTGTGTCGACTTGTGTCGTTAACTGGAAAGCACCCTACATATGTTGCTATGTTACTACTTGCTTGGGACATACATTCTTACAACTGCCTGCAGCAGTCCTCAAGCGATTACAATTTAATGGATCAGTTGACAAATAACGAAAAAGTCGAACTATTTTCTACAAATTTTCTATTTTGTATATTTTTTTATTTTACTAGACACTACAGACGCGCGCTACGCGCGCGCTATTTATCTTTAACATTTCACTATTAACCCTATTATACACAACTGTCAAAATATACAATGACAGCTGCAAATGAAGTAAGCGCAGCAAGGAAACCAATCGGCATCGCGGAAAAGCGGCAACAATAAACTTCACATCTCCTTTTTAGAAAAGGATTAATATACAGTACAATAATTTAGTCTTGATCGACGTATTCAAATGTTCTACGTGGTTTCATCTACCTACTTGCTCGAGAAAAACACTTAAATAATAATGCATCTTCAAATTATTTACCTAATTCAAGACGCGTGCTGCAACTGGCACAACCGAACTTCTTGAGCGTTTTGATGCTCTCGTCGGCGCACTTACCACTCGCTTCGGCAAATCCTAAATAATTGTAAGAGCCCAAATTTATACACTGTGTTTCAGTTCCAGTAAATCTGTCAGGATTAAAAAATTTGGGATTTTAATTCTATTGATACGTGGTAAATGGTGGCTTTCGTACGTTGTCGAACTTACTGAAACGTCCATCCGTAATCGTGAGTTACTCGATCTTTTAATGTGACCGTTGCGCCAGGAACAGAACAAATCGGCCTGTTCCAACAATCTCTCACTCGTCTGTAGACGTACTTGAGATAAAATTTCTCAAAATTGTCGTACAGCGGAGCATATCCCTAAAAATACATATTCAATATGAAATATTTACATGCTGCATAAAAAGTAAGATATCGTTGTTCATAACAAAATTGATAAATATCGAAATACAGGAAAATATATACATATGTTACATGCGTACACAAAATCCAAATTTATTTATTATTTTTATCATAAAACAAAGATGCAAAGATTAATTTTTATAGAATACATAGAATAAATAGAATTATGTAGAATATTTCTAATATCGTATGACTTTTCTTTATACGTTAATGGTATACAATACTTTTATTTAAAATTAATAAAAATCTTTTAATATGTTACTATTAATGTTGATTTCGAAATACGTGAGCCTAAAATTTAACGTTTTTATTTTTACTCTGGCTTCCTTTACTTTTCATTTACAAATGTACTGCAATTTGTATCAATGTTGAATAAAGTATAAATGATTATCGCCATACTTCTCTATTTTTTTCGGTGGCAATCTTCGGAACAAAGAATAACTGATTAATAAATCCCAGGAACATGAGAATATAAAAACCGAGGTGTGTAAGCGCCGCTGTGATGAATGGAACTTTTTCAAAGGATTCTCTCGACCGTGGTGGTTTTTGTAATTCCGCTTTTGTCGGACCGTGGGTAGACTGCAATAAATTTGTACGCTAAATTGCACAGCCTACGAAAGTATATTATTGATCGGTCAAAGTGCTTGTTCAAATTCTCAAGATATAATTTTCAAGATGTATAACATTTTTATTCTGTGGCGGTCAGCTGTCCGCCACAACGCGCGACGGTGCACGCG